AGCCTTCTCATTCGCTCAGAATCTTGCGGGGCCAGCAGCTTCAAGCCGATTTATATGGGCAGGCAACTGTCTACACCCGCAGCCCAGCGCACCCCACCCCACCCCTGGTATCAGCTGAGAGTAACTCTGCCTCCAGTCGGGACTGCAGGGTAGGCGCTTTCACGCTTCATCTCTGCTCTTATGTAATCCCAGAAGCTACAGGGGCTCCTAAACTAAACAGCAGGTGCTTGGCTGGTACCCATTCTCCACCAGAAGCCAAGCTTGGTGGGCACTCGGCCAACTACTAATGCCAAGTACTGCCCAGGAGTACCTGTCCCAGCAGTGGCCATCCCCAGCCAGGGCCTGCAGTCTGGGAATCCCCGCCTCACTCTCCACATCTGAGGCCTTCCCCTTCGCCTCCCCTCCTCCCCAGGTGCTGTCACTAACTGCCCAGAAAGGAGCTGCTGGGGCCGATGGTCATGGGGGAGCCTGGCAGAGAGGAGTATAAAATCCAGTCTTTTGATGCAGAGACCCAGCAGCTGCTGAAGACAGCGCTCAAAGGTGAGCTTGGGGAGCCCTCCTGAGCCTGGGTCTGGAGCTGCAGACACGGGGCCACGGGGACGGGACCGGAGGACTGAGCCTAGCCTGGGAATGTCCAGCCCTCTCTCTCCCTTCGATTTCTGTGAATAGGAGTCAGCACCATAACTCTCAAACCGAAAGAGAAGCTACATTCAGGCCAGTATTTGGGAGTGAGTCATAGTCCTCTCAGAATGTAAAGCCTTCCTAGTAACTACGTGCTCATGAAAGGGGCGTGGGGCACAGAGAACACGGGTCCTGCTCTTCAAGTCCTGAAATTGGACCTGGTTTCTGCGTTGCTGCAGCCAGCGCTCTTGAACGTGCAGAGCTGCCTGAGTCGGGACAGAGGATAGAGTGTTCTGCTTGGCAGGGGAGAGAGGGTCATTGTCCTGGACCAAGGCCTCCCGCAGCACTCGGGACAGAAGCTTGACTCGGTTAACAATTGGCAGTGCCCATCACATGCCACGCTGAGCTTGTGGGGGAGGCCCCGCCTGGCCTGCTCATGTCAGGGGTTCATGGGAGTGTTATGAGAACACTTGCTCCTGTGAAATTGCTGTCAAAGACACATAAGTGTTCCTTCCTCAGCCTAGTGCCACATGATCTGTCCTAGGAAACTAGCATTCTTTGCTTAGTCTCTCAGCTGCATGACCTTCCCCGTTGCCTCTGATTGGGCCGCAGGAGGCTCCGGGCGGAGCTGTGCCTGCTTTCCGATCTCTAAGTGAAATGTAAGCATCTCATGGTTGTGCTCTTCTGTAAACACCTCCAGTCCTTCTCAGGAGCAGGTGGAGGCAAATGTGCTAATTAAGCAGGTCGAGACTGCCTGCCTGTCTCTACTCCAGATCCAGGTGCCGTGGACTTGGAGAAAGTGGCCAATGTGATTGTGGACCATTCCCTGCAGGACCGCGTGTTCAGCAAGGAAGCAGGACGCATGTGCTATGCCATTATTCAGGTTGGGGAGCGTTGGTGGAGAAGAGGGGAGACACTTGGCTTCAGGCGTGGGCAGAGATGCGAAGGACTTCCCTCAGAGGCAGAGAGAGTAGGACGAGAGGGTCCTCAGCCATGGAAGCTCAGGTGGGGCTGCGATGGCACTGCCCGCCCCTAATGCCGCCATCCTTCCTCTGGTTCACAGGCAGAGAGCAAGCAAGCAGGCCAGAGTGTCTTCCGGCGTGGACTCCTCAACCGGCTGCAGCAGGAGTACCAGGCTCGGGAGCAGCTGCGCGCCCGCTCCCCGCAGGGCTGGGTCTGCTATGTCACCTTTATCTGCAACATCTTTGACTACTTGAGGGTGAGGCCACCGCAGCCGCCCTGTGCAGCAGGCAGCCTGTCTCCCGAGGCCACTAAGCCAGTGCTTTGACCCCTGCTGTCCCCGACAGGTGAACAACATGCCCATGATGGCCCTGGTGAACCCCGTCTATGACTGCCTCTTCCGGCTGGCCCAGCCCGACAGTCTGAGCGAGGAGGAGGAGGTATGTGGCCTTGGCCTGGAAGGCTGTGGAGGTGGGCAGGCTTTAGCTCAGCTCAGACCAGCCCAGTGTCCATGGAGGCTTGAGGCATCACTTCCTGGGGCAAGAGCTGGGGGTGGGGGGACAGTGAAGGCCTGTCAGTACAGGACAAGCTGCCAAGTCTGGAACTGACCCAGAACAGAGAGCAGCCAAAACCTCCTGGCTCAGAGGCTTCCCCCCAGCAGGAAAGCCAACCTATAAAATGGCGAGAGCTTTGGCAGCTGTGGATACTGCTGGCCAGAAACCAAACCGGGGTCAGGCAGCGTGGGGGAGAGGAAGTGGGGTTCAGCTGCAGTTTGCAGACAGGGCCTGTGTCTGCCTGGCCCAGATGAAAGACCGTAGGCAAGTCTCTGAACTTGCTTCCTGCCATGTAGGATACGGGTACTACCCACTGGGTGGCGTGAGGCTGGAGTGGGAAGATGCGTGTCTAGGGCCATGCACAGTGTCTGGCACGCAGTGAGAGCTCAGTAAATGGCTGCTCTGTGTGACAGGCTGGCCCTGCCCGAGGCTCACCTCCCACTGTCCCTGCAGGTGGACTGCCTGGTGCTGCAGCTGCACCGAGTTGGGGAGCAGCTGGAGAAGATGAACAGGCAGCGAATGGATGAGCTCTTTGTCCTGATCCGGGATGGCTTCCTGCTCCCGACCAGCCTCAGCTCCCTGGCCCAGCTGCTGCTGCTGGAGATCATCGAGTTCCGGGCAGCTGGCTGGAAGACGACCCCAGCTGCCCACAAGTATTACTACAGCGAGGTCTCTGACTAGGCCTCCAGATCAGGCTTCCCTCCCAGCAGCACTGGCCTTGCTTCTACCCACCTCCCACCTGGCAGCACAGTCTTTGCCTCTCCAAAGACTTTCCCTTCCAGCCTTTCAGCAGCTCCCAAGAAGTTTCCCACTTATCCAGGGGTTCTGCCCTGAGCATCTCCTCCTCCTGCAGGGGTTGGGGAAAACACTACACAGACCTGCCCCCTCCTCCCCTCCCCTCAGTCTCTCCCATACCTCCCACCTGGCCCGGGAAGAGAAGGGCAACTCCTAACAACCACTGCACTGTGTAACCACTGGCACCTCAGTTTCCCATCTGTAAAATGGGTACCCATCGCCACTGGTAGGATGCTTTGGAATGTCAAGGGGGAAAGGCGCAGAGCACAAGTCACACAGAAACTTTTATACGTTTTGTATAAGGACCACTTTGGAAACAGGCGTATTTCCTCAGTCAGTTTTCATGGGTGGCAGTACTGTATCACATGCTACACAGTTCAGGGTGAGAATTTCCTAATAAAGCTTTCGGATACTAAAATGCCTCCTTTCATCACCCAAAGGTCCACCCCAAGCCGATGGAAGAGAAGCCTGGATGGGCCCCAAGTTTCTTGGGGGAAATCCAAGTCCATGCATGGCCTCTTTGCAAGGAGATGGGGCAGGGAGAGCGAGTTCTAGCCCACAAAGGAAAGACTAAAGCAATAAATATACTGCCCCATCCTTCCTTCAGGCCCGCCCTTAAAAAGGAACTACATCCTTAGGCACAGGTATTTTTCAATGTAGCAGCGGCTCACGTTGTGTCTTGCAGCAGAGAGCCCTGGGCGGCTCCCGGAGCCCCTACCCCTCCTACCACCAGCGGTAGTGGGCCAGGGCACGGTTGGCCTCGGCCATCTTGTGCATGTCGTGCTTCCTCTTGACCACAGGGCCCTGGTTGTGAAAAGCCTGCAGCAGCTCCTGCGACAGCTTCTCTGGCATCAGCGTCCGCCGGTGCTTCTTCTCCCGGCACTCGGTGATCATCCACTTCATGGCCAGGAAGCGTCGGCGCCGGTCGCTTAGTGGCACAGGGACCTGTGCAAGACAGGACACGGGCAAGTTGGCCCAAGAACTAGCCAGGGTTGCAGCCTCCTTCCTCCAGGAACGATAAGGAGTGGCCACAGGTTCCCTCTGGGTCAGCCCTCGCCAGGCCCCTGAGGAGGGGGACCTGTCTTTTCCTCTGAGCTCCCCTCACCCGTGAGCTCAGTGCAGCAGACAGAGGCATTCACTGAGCAAGTTCGCATTAAGCGCTGACCTCTCTACCTGTAAATGGAAGCTCAGCCAAGTCGATAACAAGCACCAACTGGGAAAAGCCCCACCAGCTGGGTGACTGAGCCAACTCGGATGACAGGTGCCTAAAAATAAGACCCTCTTGTCCAAGAATCATTTGCCAGGCCCCCACTATGTGCCAGGTATCATGCCGGACCCTAGGGACACAGACAGCAATAAGAAAGTCTCTACTTTAATGAAGTTTACACTGAAAAAGAAGATGAGAACACCCACTTATGACAAGGAAACATAAATACTATAATGGGGGCACCTAGTTCAGTTCAACAAACGGTGATGAAGCATCAGTACAAGTCCAGCACTATGCTAGACACGGTGTATAAAGGATGAGACAGAAACAGCCTCTCACCATGAGAAACTGAAAGAACACAAGTTTTTTTGGGGGGTCGGGCTCCGGAAGAGGACACTTGGATACTTCTTTGCTCCCTTCCATTTTCAGTCATCTCTAACGCTATGGGACTCACATGATCAGATCCCGATAGTCTCTGGTCCCTTCCACCTGCAAGAACCCCTCCCCGAATCTTGTCCCTGCCTGACCGCTCACCTGATAGAAACGGCCACCCTTGAGGATGGGTGCCAGCCCAATCACGGGCTCGCAGTTTTTCAGTGCCTGGTGGAAGATGGTGTAGGGGTTGCGTTCAATGGTTGCCTGTTCCTCTGAAGAAGCAGCATGGAACTTCGCGAACTGCTTCCTCTCACAGCTTCCAGAGTCTGCAACGGGACACAGTGGCAGGGGCTGAGCAGGCTTCCTGGACGGTTTCCCCAGCTGAGCCAGCACCTTGCCCTTCACTCTCATCATCCCGCTCTCCTAGAGCAGTGGTCAGCAAACTGCGGCTCTCAAGCCACATGCAGCTCTTTGGCCCCTTGAGTGTGGCTCTTCCACAAAATACCGACTTCTGGGCATGGGCCACGAAGTTTCAATCTCACTGTTCGTGCGCGCCCGCACGTGGTATTTAGTGGAAGAGCCATGCTCAAAGGGCCAAAGAGCCGCATGTGGCTCACCAGCTGCAGTTTGCCGACCACTGTCCTAGAGCAATGCCAAAGCTCCTAAATAGGACGGGAAGAGCCGCTGCGATTTGGGGAGGGGAGGGGAATGGCAGTTGTTCATCCTGCAGGGCTTCATGAAAGCCCCCAACACACACACACACACACACACACACACACACAAGTTCATTTCAATGACAGGTACGAGAACCCACTCTTTTTCATGCTAAACTGAAAGCCAAGTACAAAGCTACAGGAGAAAGGAAGATGAGAGAGGAGCTAGTTACCTGTGTCATGAGGGATCTTGCCAGGACCTTGTTTCCTCCTTTCATCATCATGTTGATGAATTTGCTTCAAGGAGAAAAGCAACAGGTTTAGCTTCCAAGGCTGTGTCCCGGAATCCTTGCCGTAGATCCTCCCTGGGCCTGACCCGGGGAACGAGAGGGCCCCGTCTCACCTGATCACCGGGTCTTCAAACACGGAGCTAGTGTTCGCCGACGGGGCGGCTTTGATGGGCTGGGTCTTCTTGAGCTCCCGCTCAAACTTCTCCTCCTCCGTCAGCTCTGCCCAGGGCTTGCGGTGATAGTCCTTGTCGATCTGCGGATCCCTGAATTCCGGGCTGTAGCGGCTCCACCGCACCTGGGTGAACCTGGGAGACCGGGAAGAGGGGGCGGCGGGCAGAGCTGACTCCACAGTGCGAAGGCTTGACTTAATAATAGGCAGGCTGGCCGGCCCACTGACTAGTGAGCTGCGCGGCCACCGCTAGCCCAGCCCGAGCAGCAGTAATTCTGGCTCTTGTCTCAAGAGGTAGGAGGGCCGCCTCCTGAACCTCAGGGCGGACGCCCGCCTATGCACCTCTCCCCCCAACACAGAAAACCCCAACTCTGAGCTCCTCGGCAAGACCGCGCTTTCAACTCCGAGTCAGAGCCCCCGCGGGCAGGGGGCAGCTACCCAGCCTTCAGATTGGCCCCAAGTCACGTTGCTGGTTCAGAGCTTTGGACCCCGACACCCCGGCCTCCAGGCCGCCTGCAGGTCCCCCGCGTCTTGCCTGGGGCCCTGTCCTTCCTCGCAGGCCTCTCGGTGCGGACCGAGCGGCCTCCCAGCTGCCCGCCGCCCTCTCACCCTGGGAAACGCAGGACAGCACTCCGCACGCTCAGTGTCAGGTCCGAGCACCCGAGCACGGCCTTCACCAAGGGGGCAGCCATCTTGGTTTGCCTCGAGGACCCCACAAGGACTGCCCTCGGCGTGCCTGAGCGAGTGGCCGAAGACGGGAAAAGGCTCCGCGGAGTCCTCAATCTGCGCGTCGCCCCATCTCTCTGGGCGTTAAGAGTCTTTAATCCCGAGGCCCAAAGGCAAGATTCAAAAGGAAACACACGCCCTCCCGTTATCCGTCGCAGGCAGGCGCTCGCTCCTCTCAGGCCCCCATGCAGGCCCCGCCCAGGCTCAGCTCTCGAAAGTTGTCGCGAGGTTTAAGGCCGGGGGCCCGGCCCGGGCGGCTGCAATATGGCGGAGGCGGAAGGAGAGAGCCTGGAGTCCTGGCTGAGTGAGTATCCGCGGCCACTTTTGCATGTCCTCGAGCCACCACCGAGCCGCCCCTCCGTGCACCCCTACGGCCCGTCCCCGGGCCCTGCGGCGGCGCCGCCTGTCAGCCTGCGCCTGGGCCCGCCGCCAGCGTCCCGCGCTCACGCCCCTTCCCCGGCTGGGCGTCTGGCCCCCGCCAGCACCTGCTCCCCGGGCTGCGGCGCCTCCTCCCGCTCCCACGCGCGGAGGCGTGAGCTCGGGTCCGGTCCCGGCCTCGCGGGCTGCGGGAAAGTGACAGCCAAGTGCTGCCGGCTGAAGGGGAGGCGGTGGAGGGGCTGCGGGCGGCTCAGTCCCTGCCGAAGGGACGCGCTCCGGTTTGGGCTGAAGCTCCGGAGCGGCGGATGCTCCGAGCACACGCACAGCTTCAGAACCGGGACTGTGTTCGAGAAGCGCCCGCTTCGCGCAGGCGGAATGTTTGAGGTGCGGATATTCCAAAGCCCCAGCACCGAGCTCTGCCCCGCCCCGCGCGCGCCCTGGAACAGCTGAGCGCAGCGGCCTCTTGCTATCATCGCGAGTTCAGCTTATGAGCCGGGGGCGCCCTGCTGAGTGGGCAGCGGGTTAACTTTGCTGTGGGCTGGCGCAGGCTCCTGGGGGCTTCCTAGAGGGGACCAGCTGGACGTGGTGGAAAGGCGCGGAGAGATGCCTAGACATTCCCTCTGCACAGATCTCTGAGCCTCCAGGTCCTTGGAGGTGATGGCTGTTTCCTCCGATTGCCTGGCCTTTCTTAATAAGAAACTGCCTTCAGGTGGTTGAACCTAGGGTTACATTTGCAAAACCTGGGGTTGCAGGCAGCTCACAACGCCTCTGGACCCGTTCTCCCGGAGGCTCAAAGTGCTCTACGCACATTCCTTTATCAAGTTTCCTAGTGAAGCAGACATTGTCACAACTGCACAAAAAGGGGACACCCGACTCCCGTCAGACCACTTGCCCAGAGCCACCCAATCAAAATCTAACCGCACTGGACTTGGTTCGATGCCCAGATATTCAAGGGGACATTGGAGTAGTTTAAGTGGCCTACGCTGAGTTGAATAGGTTTAGAGTTATGTTTTGAAATAGGAGAGGGACAGACCTGTTTTTGAGGGAGAATGGAGGTGACAGAGGGGAATGGGATGGTATCTGCAGAGACTACAGATGTCCCCGACTTAACCATCGTTCGACACAGTTTTTCGACGTTGCGATGGTGCTAAAGCAATAATCATTCAGTAGAAACCGTACTTCAAATTTTGAAATGTGGCCTTTTCCCAGGCTAGCGTTTTGCGGTAGGATACTCTCCCCTGATGCTGGGCAGCGCCTGCAAGCGCAGCGCGCATCGGCCACTTGAGCACAAGTGTAAACAACGGATACCTATACGGGCGGTACTGTGTTGCCAGTGCTTTTTGGATATTGTGTTCTAGGCTAAGCAGTAATGTTGGGTAGGTTATGGGTGTTAAATGCGTTTTCGACTTACGGTATTTTCAACTTGTGAAGAGTTTCTCTGGATGTAACCCCATCGTAAGTCTTAAGACTTAAAGGTGTGAACTATCCCCGGTGACTGAATGAACCATTGTTCGGGGCGGACAGTCACGGTGTTTGCTGGTTCACACAGGGAGTTGCTGTGGGAGAGCGATGGGAGAGAAAGCTGGGAAGGTACCTTCGAAAAGGCTTGAATTCCAGCCC